CCAGGCTTTCGCAGACCTCCCGGGGGGCCTTTTCTGCAACCGCCCCCACACTGTGGAATGGCCTGCCGCACGAGATCTGTCTTATTACCACTCTTACTGCCTTTAAAAAGGCAGTAAAAATTGATCTTTTCCGGCAGGCTTTCCCGGAATAACCACCCGGCTTGTAATCTTGAATACTGATGACTGATATATTGAATATTGATATTGATACATTGAAATATTGTAATGTTGATATTGTGACATTGTGAAGGTGACCTGCTGTATTCTATTTTATCTCAGCTGTTTTTAACTTATGATGGTTTAATTCAGTTTTATGGGGTGGGTGGGTAAGAGGTGGGAGGTAGAAATTGTTTTATTTGTTGTATTTTTAATTCTGTTGTACGCCGCCCTGATTGCCGAGCAGAGGGGCGGGTTATAAATAAAATTTATTATTTATTATTATTATTATTAGAAAACCTTTAATCCCTCCATAAAGAGATAGAAATGTGGCAGCTATGTCAGTTTCACACCAGGTGTAATGATGTACTGCAAAGGGAGTGGGGTAACTAGTGGGAATTGTAGTGTTAGTATCAAAGTTAATGTGCAAGATGTATTCCTCACTGTATCTATGATGTGTGTGGGGACTGCAAAAATTCACCTTTTATCTGAATGTCCTTGTGAACAGGGGATGGACAACTTCATAGAATCATAGAATCATAGAGTTGGAAGAGGCCACAAGGGCCATCCAGTCCAACCCCCTGCCATGCAGGAACTCCCAATCAAAGCATCCCCGACAGATGGCCATCCAGCCTCTGCTTAAAGACCTCCAAGGAAGGAGACTCCACTACTCTCCGAGGGAGTGTGTTCCACTGTCGAACCACCCTTACTGTCAGGAAGTTCCTCCTAATGTTGAGGTGGAATCTCTTTTCTTGCAGCTCACATCCATTGTTTCAGGTCCTAGTCTCTGGAGCAGCAGAAAACAAGTTTGTTCCCTCCTCAGTATGACATCATTTCAAATATTTAAACACAGCCAGGTGTCCCCCATCGTATATCTGTACTTTTCGTTTTTCCGCCCTAAGTGCAGTACCTTACATTTCTCTGTGTTGAATTTCATTTTGTTAGCTTTGGCCCAGCTTTCTAGTCTGTTCAAGTCAAGTTTAAATCAAAATATTTGTCTCTTTAGGAAGATATATCTTTTTATGTCTCAAGCTGTACAGCAAATGTAGTCAAAACAACTGGTGTGGCTTGTGTCTGCTATATTAATTTCCAGTAATACCCTGTACCCTAACTTACTGGGTGCATCCAGTCTGATTAAAAAGACTAGAAGGTTCCAGATTTTCTTCCCATTCAAAACATATTTTGTTTATCCTTGAATATTTTCTATCAGCTCTCAGTATGATCAGAAACTTTTTATACCAGGGGTAGGCAACTTTTTTGAGCCAGGGGCTGGGTTGCTGTCCCTCAGACAATTGGGGGGCCGAAGCACCAAAAATAAATAAATAAATAAATAAATTTTAATTTTTTTAAAAAAAAATTAAAAATTAAAAAAAAAATGCATGCATACTCTCCGAGCCGCAGAAAAGCCATGGCAAAACCCCTGTGGAGATTTTGCCAAGAAAATCCCAAGAACAAGTAATAACAACAATAATCAATATCATCATGGTGGGGGCGACAGCAGGACCGACCTGGGGCATCCGGCCCCCGGGCCTTAGGTTGCCTACCCCTGTTTTATACCAACTCCACAGGTTAGTTTATTTTAACCCAGTATAAAATCAGAAAGAGCAGGAAAAAAATCTGGGACTTTTCAATCAGTCTGGATGTACCCACTCTCTCTCCATTGTGATAACTGCTTATGGAGGCAATATAGGAAGATTAAAATGGCAACTCTCCCTTGTCTCCTGTTATCAGAAGATCCACAGCCACTATCTAAACTGTCGGTGGCCAACTTCCTTGAATGTGTGGGTTGAACACCTTGAATACATCCTTTAAAGTTCAGGATAAAACTCAGAGTGGATTCACTGACCCATAGTCATGGAATCCACCAGCCACTTCTACTCACAATGTCATCAACAACTGGGATGCAGATTTATATTTGGAGGAAGATTTAAATACAGTGGGCCCACCACATTTGCTGGGGTTAGGGATATAGGTCCCTGTAAAAATGGAAAGAACACCTCTCTAGGAATCTTTAGGTCCTCCAGAGCAACTCTGTCATCAACAGCCACTAGACGTTGACCACAGGATTGTGCTGGAGAACCTACAAATGCAAAGAGAAGTGTTATCTCTAGGAATCTCTAGGTCCTCCAGTGAAAGTTGGCCATAGAGTCATGCAACACGACTTAGAGATTCCTAGAGGGAACACATTAGTAAAATCCATAAATAATCAAATCCACAAACATTGAACCCGCAAATGGAGCCCTGATAGTGCAGTGGTTAAACACCTGTACTGCAGCCACAACATTGTGGGTTTTGATCCTGCAGGCCTCTGGGTTGACTCAGCCTTCTTTCCAAACTATTATTAGTTACATAATAGTTTACATTACATATAATGTAGAACTGTCCTGTCTCTCTTAGTATAGAATAAACACATCCTATATAAATCCTATCTATGGAGATGTTAATCAGATGCCTACAGCTTGTTCAGGACAATTGGCTAAAC